TTTTAGCTACCCTAAAATAAATTAATATATGATTTATTTATATAACCACTTAAATTGAACTTAAAATACCTATACAATTTAATATAAAATTCAACTATATTTTGATTACAGGAGAATTCTCTACAACAATATATATATATATATATATATATATATATCTTCTCTCCCATTTAGTTATTTGTTCAATCAGTATTTATTAGAGATTCACACATATTTGTTATATACTTTGGGCTTTGATACAGTATTACGTTACTTATTATTTCATTGCTCAAAGTTTCCCATCTTTGGCCATTGAGAGCACTTGGAAATTGATGCCTGTATTTTGTTGGGTTTTGTTTGGGTTTTTTTTAAGTTTTTTGTTTGTTCATTTGTTTTTTGGTTTTTTGTTTTTTGGGTTGTTTTTGTTTTTTAAGGGTGTATACTCACTAATGAGACAGAGAAAAGGAAAGTGAGAAATGTGGGGGGAATGGACATACTACTGCAATCCATTCTCTTCCATTTACTTCTCAGGATTTGGGGCCTGTGGCACATGCAACAGCATGTTTTTCAAACCACTGGGTCCAGGACTTGAACTCCTGGCTTGGCTAATGGGATTCAGCACCTCAACCACCATGCCACTTGCTGGCCTTGATGCCTAAGTTTTTTTAAATATCTCTTATGTTTTTTAAAGGCTACCTTATCTTGTTGCACTACAAAATGCTTAAGCCTTTTCTTGGGCTTTCCTTGCCCTAGACCTAGAATCAACCATTTCCCTAATTATTTCTGGTTTCTTTTATTAGAGAATGGTATTAGAAACCAGAATCAAGTTGCTTTGTGTATTTGTTACTACCAGGGTGCCATTGAAGCTCTCAAAAACATAGCTAGAAAATATTCAAACTAATCTATATATGCATGTGTATATAATTATTTCTGCTTCTACCATCTATGTCTCTATTAATCTAAAGTTGAATTCATACTGAGGTCTCCAACCCCAATCTCATACCACATGGTTCACTCTGGCCTTTCCCTTTCCTAACCACTAAACTTCCATTCCTGCAGTGAGAAACCTGTTCATGTCTACCATTGCCAGCCATTCACTTATGTGTTCAATCCCTATATACATGCACAGCAATTTCACAGTTGTAAACCTGCACCCTGGTGAGAAACATCATTAACTAAAGTATAGTGCTCATGTGCTATTTTTGTACTTAGTTTCACAGATTCCAGAAAAAAAATTGTTTTCCAAAACTACGTAGGCCAAAACCTTTTCCCCATCCTCTTCAGTGGTACATGTCATTTATTTGTAATGCTGTCTGATTCTTTTGTCAGAATCTGTATTTCATCCCTGGAGCCTGATATCCTAGTTGATTGCATAAAAATTTGTGTACATGAGGTTCACCTTTTTTCTACTGTGAAATTCTATGGGATTGACCAATGCACTGTTCTGTATCTGCCTCTACATGACCGTACAGATTAGATCCACCATCCTGAAAATGGCTCAGGCTTCCTCTAGCCAAAT